AATGGTATTGCTACTGTGAAAAAATCATATGGCACTCAAAAGGCTAGAAATAGAAATAGTATGTAATCCAGCAACCTAAATACTAGGTAAATATCTTACTGGCATAAGAGCCATGACGTGAATAGACATAGGCAAACTCATGCTCACTGTAGCATTTTTCATAGAATCAAAAAGATGGAAACAACATAAGTGGCTATTAACAAATTACTGACTATACAAACTATAGTACATACACATAATGTAATACTAGATCAAGTACATGATGAACTCACAAAACACCTCAAAACATGGATGAACATATTATACTGAATGAAATAAATCAATCATGAAAACATATTTTGAAAAAGTATTATTAACTTACTATAAAAAAAATCAAGAAAAAGTTTATACAAATATTTTTACAGATTCACAGTAAAATGTCTAACAGGCAAAAACCCAACCAAAAAAACAAAACAAACACACACCACCACACTTGCTTTTTCCTGCTAATTTTTTTTCTTTCTAATTTTAGCAAAAAGAAAGATAATATATAAGGTATAAAGGAGAAATCGAAGTTTGGCAGCAGAATTGGATAAAGACTCTTCAACAACAACATCCATTATGGAGATGACACAACCTTGCTTGCCCAAACTGAGGAGGCCCTGAAATGCTGCAGAAGGTGAAGGACTGCAGCCTTCAATATGGATTGAAGCTCAACATCAAGAAGACAAGGATTCTCACCACTAGGCCAATTGGCATCATCATGATAGATGGAGAAGAGATCGTGGCTGTTAACAATTTCAGCTCCTTTGGTACCACCGCCAAAACTCTTGGCACCAGCATCAGGAAATCAGAAGATGAATTGCACTGGGGAAATCTGCTGTCAGGGATGGACCTCCCCAATGTGCTAAAAAACAATGACGTCAATCTAGAGACTAAGGTGTGCCTGATTCAGGCCCTGGTCTTCGCAGTTACTTGCCATGCATCAGAGAGCTAAACAATGACTAAGGATTGCTTGTTGTTGTTGTTATGTGCCGTCGAGTCGTTGCGACTCATAGCGACCCTATGCACAACAGCCCTAAATCCTGCTCTATCCTGCGCCAACCGCACTGCCTCTGACACGCCCATCCCAATTACCCCAGTCACCGAATCAATCCATCTCATAGAGGATCTTCCCCTCCTGAGCTGTCCCTCCACCCTCCCAAGCATGATGTCCCTCTCCAAGGACCCGTCCCTCCTGGCAACATGTCCAAAGTATGTCAGACGAAGC